CGTTTTAAACTCGATTCTCGTATCGAAAGGAAGAGAATTGTACTATTGGAATTATGGGAACATGGGACGCCATTTTTATCTTACACTAGAACGTTTTTTATTCCTTACCTACACGCTTACACTCGTCAGTTCCGGCTTGCACTAGTTCGGTTCAGTTCAGTTCTAGTGCAGTCCCAGTGCAGGAATAGAAAACAAACCCATAGATCTGTTTTCTATAGTGTACATACATACACTTGGAACTAAATGCCTATTAACGATATCCAATGAGAACTCTGCTTTGCATTATCATGTGAGAAAAAGCAAAGCTTTCATTGGATGTCGCTCGTCGCGTCCAGTGAGCAGTTAAGCCGTAATCACACTACAGGCTTCCGACTCTGACTCCCGACTCCTGACTCAAAGTCGATCAAATAGAGTGATTTCTATTCTCGAGTCGGCAGTCAGAGTCGGCTGCTGCCTTGCTGTGATTGGTAGAATGATAGTCGGGAGTCCGAGTCAGTAGTCGAGTTAGAGTCGGGAGTCTGTAGTGTGATTACGGCTTTAAGGCCATTTCATACAACTTGCATAGCAGCATAAACATATGCATAAAGAAAATCATCCAATCGTAGTTTACGTTTGTGTTACGTTCCGAGGTTCAACCGTCGGTAATTAATGACTGAACAAACCTGGACCGGTAGCGAGTACGAGATTACGCGGTTGTTATCGGCAAAGATAGAGGAATGAAAGATTTGTCCAGTTTTAACTACTAAAATGAGTTAAAAGGGCGTGCCCAACACAGCGAGTATGGTCGAATCTTAAGAGATCCAGGGAATATCTCCCGCTTTGTTTAGGAAAAGGGTGAATTCTTCTAAGAGCCCAGACAAAAAAACTTTATATACGACACAAGCTTTTGCATAACGCATAATTCATTGTGCATAAGCGAATCAACTAACCAGAAGCTTTCCTTTCCTCTCATTTTATGGAAAAGAAGAATTTCGATTGATTGATTCCATTATGCACTATGTATTATGCGTTATGCAAGAGTGTGTGCTGCGGCCATAAGACTTCCGGGCAATCGCGACATTTTGAGATGTGACGGACAGTAGCCAAGGACACCAAACATGCGCTACAAATTTCGAATCTTTCGGCAAATCCTAGGTGGATGTAGTGCCGTAATGTCCCTAGATACTTGGCCTTCTCGGCGGCCGGCAATAGGATGTAACATTCGGGGCATTTATCATCAGCTTTCTTATTACGGTAAATCAAGGCTGATACGCAGCAGGCGCTAGTTACCCACGCGATGTAAGAGTCTATAGGTTTGTTCGCGTCGCATGCTCCAACATGTTCCAACATACTCCTACTATAGCTCCTACTCACTCTATCAAGCGCGTTGGAGTGAGTAGGAGCTATGGTAGGAACATATTGGAACATATTGGAGCACGCGACGCGAACAAACCCTATATCAATGAGGCGCAGTGTTATTAGACGGGCCGGATTTCTGACGCATGCGCGTCCAATGTAGCTTCAATAACGTACCGGTCACTAGTAAATAGGAGATCATTAGTTGCCTATGTAAAATTTTCAAAAATGTTAAAAATTTTAATATATTTTATATATGTATATGTATATAGAAATATATATAATATATAGAAATATATATGTATATGTATATAGAAATATATATAATATATTTCTATATACGTTTACATATGTAAAATATGTAAAATTTATTAAAATTTTCAACATTTTTGAAAAAATTTTGCATAGGCGACTAATGATCTCCTATTTACTAGTGACCGGTACGTTACTGAAGCTACATTGGACGCGCATGCGTCAGAAATCCGGCTCGTCTAACAACACTAATGAGGCGGCCGGTGGCGGGTAGGCGCGAAAACGGATGCACAGAGCACATGCTACATCCACTTATAGCCTCGTTACCGTGAAGTGGGACATAAATTGCACTTACCATACGGTGATTGCCTTGTGAATCATAGCAACAGCTCTCCAATGGCGCGGTCTGTGGTACAGCGCGTGCAGGCCGGTCCGGATTCTGGTTGGTCAGGCCCGTCGTTGGTGCGTGGAGATTGGTTCAGTGCTAGTTCATTCGCACATCCAATTCGCGAATGTAATAGCATTTTCGGCCCGGCCAGGTTTGCACCAACCTGGGTTAATGGCGTTTTGTGCTCTCCTATTGGTAGAGCGGGCGACGTCAACCAATAGGAAAGATTAATCTAACCCAGGTTGGTGCAAACCCGATCGGGCCGAAAACGCTATAAGTAAAGTCGGTTACGAAAGGAAGGTTTCGTCGAGAGAAATTGCATGCACGTATTTGTATATGCTCAAAAAAGAATATCTTGTATATTTTATGATTACTAAATTACATCAAGTACACGATTAAGCTTATGCTACGATTTAATATTTAAATGCGGTTAAGATTAACAAAGTTAAGTAAGATCTACTTATATAACTAGACGAAATTACTAATAGAAATGGAAAACTGTTGGACTTGAGTTTGAATTGGAAATCGCGACGGTCTGGAAGAGACCTTTTCTTTTGACCGAACCTCGGCCCCGAAAACTTAAGAACTGAACTTTTAGCTAACAACTAACTCGGTTATCCCGAGGGCGTTTTCGAAAGATCCCTTTCCATGCTGGTAGGGAAGGCGTCAGGAGCGATCCCGGCGGTTTTCGTGCCCTGCCGGTCTATTAAGGTAAAGAAAATTTGTGATTTGCCTGGGGATATTCCTGGACAAGTTTTATATGTACTGCGGACGTAACATTTGTCTTTATGACAGAAATGTAATTGGATAATTTTCTTTATGCATATGGCTCTGCAAGTTTGTGTGGAATGGCCCTTACACTGAGCAGCAGTGTGCAGTAGAAACGCTGAAGGCAGTGTTGCCGTTTTTAGTACAAATGTATTTTTTTATTACATTTTGATCTATTTTAGTACGTCATTACAAAATGCCTTAAATCTATTACATTTTTAGGGGAGGGTGAGGAGGTAAGGAAATGCAGGCTGTGTGGGAGTGGGGCGGAAACATGGGACCACGTATGGGAGGGTTGTAGGGTCTGGAGGATGGGGGAAGGAGGAAGGTGGCATGATGTGGTAGGGAGAATATTGGGTGAAGAAGGGGAGGGGGAAGGGTGGATGAGGGAAGTGGAGGAGGAAAGTAGGGCGAGGGCGAGGAGGAAAGGGAATAAGAGAAGGGGAGGGGAATGAGGGATTGGTGGGGAAGGGAGAGGGGAGGGAGAGAGGGAGAGAGAAGGGAGGGAGGGAGGGAGGGAGGGAGGCTCTGTGGGGAAGATAGTAGATCAGAATAAACTTTTTAGAAGAAGGAATTCACGTTGATAGAGTGGAAAGACACCGGAAACGGAAGTCCCTAGCGAAGAGAGGTGACACCCAGTTGGACACGGCTCAATTGGATACGAGTCACTCACAGCGTTCGAGACTACAAAGCTCCTAGGCACCTGGTCGCTGTGATTGGTGGTGTCCAATCGAGCCGTGATCAATCGGGATCACTTCAGAGAGAGAGAGAGAGAGAGAGAATAGACGGTATAGAATTAAGTTATAGCGTTTTCGGCCCGATCGGGTTTGCACCAACCTGGGTTGGATTAATCTTTCCTATTGGTTGATGTCACACGCTCTACCAATAGGAGAGCGCAAAACGCCATTAATCCAACCCAGGGTGGTGCAAACCCGGTCGGGCCGAAAACGCTATTAGATTAAGTGGGGTGATCCCGATTGACCACGTCTCGATTGGACACCACCAATCACAGCGACCGGTGCTTAGGAGCTTTGTATTCTCAAGCGCTGTGAGTAGCTCGTGTCCAATTGAGCCGTGTCCAACTGGGTGCCACCCGATTAAGTTAGGTTAAGTTAGGCTAAGTTATGCCTGGTTTATGCTTCGGTCTTAATTTTAGTCTTAAAATTAGTCTTAATTTAATCTTAAGGATTGTTTATGCTTCCCTGGAAATTCAGACTACGCATGCGTATACGTAAAGAAACATAACCACAAACGAACGATGATTGCAGACGACGCACACATGCAAAATGAATCAGCGACGTAGAATAATATTGACATTTGGATTATTACTTTTATTGTCAAGTGGCTGTGTAGCACATTTATTACTTCAAAATAGTCAAAGAAGGAAAAGAAGGAGGTATGCTGTTCGACCAATGAATAGAAAAAGAAATGAAAACGGTCATTTTTTTTCTTTAACTAAGGATATGCTCAATCTTGAACACGATTATGAGCAGTTTTTTTAAATTTACACGGTGTTCTCCGAGCCAGTTCAATGAGTTACTTCAATTAGTGGGACATAAATTGCAGAAGGACACTCGAAGAAATCCTTATATATTGTCACCTTCACATCGACTGATATTAACATTGCAGTTAGTCATACATATATAATAAAGTATATTTTAATTTAATTGTTTTATGAAAACAATGAAATAATTTGTATATACTTTCTTTTATTTATAGCTACTTAGCCGAGGGCTGTACAATGCAGGAAATTGCAAGGAATTTTCGTATCGGAAAGACAACAGCACATGTCATCATTAAAGAAACATGTAAAATCTTATGGGACGTTCTGCAGCCACGTGTATTGAAACGTCCAAGTATTGACGACTGGAAGAACATTGCTCATGAATTTTATCATCGATGGAATATGCCCTATTGCTTTGGAGCTGTTGATGGTAAACACATCAACATTATGGCTCCAAAGCACTTTGGAACTGAAGTCTTCAACTATAAGAAGTCTTTCAGCATCGTATTAATGGCCGTGTGTGATGCATATTATCGCTTTACATTTGTTGACATTGGAGCAGCTGGTTCTAATCACGATTCTGTCATATTCAAAGAATCTGCGTTTGGTAAAGCATTACAAGATCGCACTTTGGAAATTCCAGAACCATACAATCTTCCTAATTCAAATATTAAATAATATAATAATAAGGTTTAATATGTATAAAACAAATGAATATTAAAAGGGCATAGAACCAATATTTTAACAAATAATTATAATTAGAATAATAACATTAAATACATAAATACATACGTTTCGACTCCGATCGGGTCATTTTCAATGCAAAAAACAAAATTTTAACTTAAAACATCCGGTAATAATAAAAAACCTCAAATTATATAATAAATATAAAAACAACATAACATAAAGTCTCTGACATAATATAAATACATAAAAAATTAATTCATTAATTGTAACATTTCATAATGAGTAAATAATACAATGTATTGAATAGCTATTGCAAAAAAGTCAAACTCAGAAGAAAAGAGTAAGTAATTATCACAATATCTTAATTTTGTAAGAATATTCGTGTCGTTCGAAGTCAAATATAAGTAGTCCCATTGAAAATAAAATTAAGTTGCAATAACGAACATCTATAGAAAAAATATGTAATATGTAACACAAAATTAAACAAATTATCAAAAAATTATTATACAATGTTAGATGAATATAAAAGTAACGGGAAATTATTTTACCTTATCAGAAGAAAAAAATTAAAAAAGGAGTTATGACTTATTGAAACTATACTAAATATGCAAACACGAACATCTCTAGGAACAATTTTAACAAATATAAAACAAAATTCAAAAGGTGTAATAGAAATTCGTTATAAAATGTCAAATAAATATAAAAATAAAAATCAGTTAAAACAGAAGTAATTTACCTTTTCAGATGACAATGGAAACCAAATAAATTTATAAAATTCCACATGTATATCAACTTAAATATAATTAAAACTATTTTGCACTTGTGAAAGCAACCGCTCTCGAGCACGTCAGACAACATAATGTACCGGCAGAAAGTCGAGAGAGGACAAGAACAGTGGAAAATTAAGAACTGGAAAGGGAACTAATCATGTTAGTATACGAATCTGGCAATGACTCCGTATCATTTTGTCTGTTTATACCGTGTGTTTGTTTCTTAATATAGACTATTTCAGAAATTAGTCGTTTTCTGTAGGAAGGTTCTATGTCCAAAATCCTCACATTGTTCCACTTGAAATCATGATTCGTTTCAATTCTATGATTAGTAATAACTGATGGAGATTTTGAACCTTTATTAATGTCTGAGACATGCTCCTTTACTCTAGTTCTCAATTGTCTCTTCGTCTGGCCAACATAGCTAACATCACAATTTTCACAAGATATTTTATAAACTACATTCTGATTGTGTGTATGATCTAATTTATCTTTGCCTCTTTTAATGTAGTATTTAAGTGTGTTAGGGATAGTGTAAGCCAGTTTACAATCTA